GTAGGAATTATTAACTAAATACTGTATTTTATAATTTTAGATGTTCAGTATGTATTATTTGAATTATTGAATTTTTTTTACAATGATTAAATTTTAAAATAAAATAAAATAAAAAGGCATTTTTACGCATAGGCTTGTAAAGTTTGAAGCTTGACTTACACGCCTAATCACGCTTTACGCTTTTTAGAACACTGATTTTATGAAAGTGCTTCTAGTAGTTAGAAGAATTTTTAGAAGAAGTTAGTTCAATGTCGTATCTTCTAAAAACACTTTCGAAATAGAAAATAATTTTAAACATTAGTTTCCAAAAAAAGAAAAAAAAATTAAGGTAGTTTCCTTCAGAAACTCTTCTACATGAAGCAAAAGTCATGCCAACGTACCCAAAATTGATGCAAAATTCAGTTCTAGTATTGTTCAATTCTCGATCAGTCAATTGCCCTTACAATACCACTTAGTAATATAATTTACTAAAAACTTTTAATGAGGAAATGAAATCAAGCCCGTCATTTCTTTTTATTTTCCAAAATCTGGTGCATATTTAATACACAGTATTGAACGGAACTGAATAATATGACAAATATATTTTATCTCATTTTTATTATTTAATTATGTCCAATGATGTCTAAGTCTTGGTCTAATACATGATTATACAAGACACCTAATGCTGTCTAGTTACGTCGTATCCACTATACACGACATATCCTAAGTGATTTCTTACTCAGAATCACCAAGTGATCATATTTAGGCCCCGTTCGGTAGGGATTAAAATCCAATTAAAATTGAAAATATGACCGTTATTGGGTCTCACTTGTCTAATAAAAGTCAACAATAACGACTATTTTTTCAATTTTAATCTGATTTTAATCCCTACCGAACGGGCCCTAAAAAGACTAGAAACCCAGTTTGGGCAATATTCTGGTATGTGCATGTCCAATCATTTCCTGCAATATATAAGATTAGTGACTTAAAAAGTTCAGATTATACAGCCATCGTTTGGTACCGATTAAAATCTAGATTTTAATCTAAATCAAAGTCAACAATTCATTTCAACCACATTTTATGAGTCTCACAACTTTTTAACCACACATTTCATCAATTTCTATCAAAATCTACTAAAAAGTTGATTTTAATCCCCACCAAACATGGGCTTCCCCTGTTTGGCATTGATTTAAATTATATTTTAATTTAACTCAAAGTCAAACAATTAATATTAACCACATATTTCATGCGTCCCACAACTTTTCAACCATATGTTTCAAAAACTTTTATCAAAATCTACTAAAAATCTAATTTTAATCACCATCAAACAAAGTAGCCAGCAGTGGATGTTTTTACACAACTATAAAACAAGACCAAAAAGTCGAATGAACAAACTTTTAAAACAATGTTTTCTTATTATTTCTTAATACTATATAGTACCACCAATACATGTCAAAAGTATTTTTATGATCGGTCTTCCAAACTTGTCTGTAATACGAGTCTAGGAAGAACCAACATTCCATTGAACCANAAAATGCTTCGCCTTGAGTCTAAGTAGGAATTAAGCGGTCAACGACAATATTAACCGCTTAATGCTTGTCTAGGTGTTTCTAGGCGCGCCTACGCCTCAGGCCCAGATTTTAAGGGGGCCCAATATTTTCCCTTTTTAAAAAAAAAAAACAAAACTCACAGCCTAGACTCAATAGCCCACTATCCATTCAAACTTCAAAAACACCAGACTCCGGAGAATTGAGAAGAAGGAAGAACGGGGCAAAACCTCTCAATTTCTCCACACACCGCACTGATTTGGGTATAAGGTATGTATAACATTAGGAGGTTATTATGCTTTACATTGTATTTGTAATTTTGGGCGCATCTGATTTTCAGTATTTTGTGGATTCTCAGTAAATTTTGCTTACAATTCTTTTTTTTTCTTTGTGATTTTCCCTCAATCAATCAAATGTTTTGGAATTTAGATAATAAATATATTATACTGAAAATTTTACTATTTCATACAAGAGTCGAGATATTGTGCATTTGTGCTTCACAGTTCACTGCTTGCTTTGTGCCTTTGTTTTTGCTATTTGGTCTGTTTCCTTCGGTGACTGGTGCTGTAAACAGTAAATTCCAGTAGGCAATAGACTGTAGGCGTGGTGACTGGTGACTGATGCTTCAAAGTGAATACTACCAGAACAGAGGATGCTTTAATGGGCTTATAGACTGCAATTGTATAACTCGAAAATTTTCCCATGTTTCAAATTGCAATTAGTTACATTAATAACAATATAACATAGAAGGGTAAACTGAATTTTTCAGTGTTTATGTAACTAAAAGCAAGGATCGTCTTGATAGTCCACTTCATACAACCACTTCTTTTTTGAATCCGTTCTATTTTTTCAAGAATCCATGTATCAAAGATGATCAATTGATTATAAATAATTTGATTGCT